ATGCCAATTGTGGGAAAGCAGGCTACATCTCACAGAATGACACATGCTTTTCCCAGTTTACCCTGGTCAAGTATCGCCAGTTGTACAAGAGTATGTATGCCCAAAGTAATTCATGTTAGCATTGTACTTGCAAAACCCTAGAAACAACCTAAATAATTGACAGGGGAGAATGGCTGACTGAACAACAGTAGATCCATCCAAGGGAATACTATACAGTTATAAAAAGGAGAATAATATCTATAAACTGATATGGAATGGCTTCCAAAATATATTGTTAAATGAAAAAGCAAAATCTGAGAAAGTATGTCACCTTTTGCGAAAGAACAAAGAAATAAGAAAAAAATATATATATACATATATATATATATATATATATATATATATATATATATATATATCAACTGTACGATTATACACAAAGAAACTTGGGAAAGGTAACCCAGAAACCAATGAGATTGGTTATATCCAGAGAGTGAGTGGAAATGGGATGAAAATAATTAGATGGTGGAAACAGGGTAGAAAAGATGGCAACAGTGAGACTTGGTAGAATTTTTGGGTTTGTGCAGTTCTCACTTCTAGAACCACCTTAACATTTCACATACCCAAACTTTTTAATGAATAAAATCAAGAATAAAAGGGGAAAACTCTAACATAGAAAACAATTGGGAAAAAATGCACCTGAAATGAATGTCACACTCAGTGAAAAGAGGAGTACGTTTTGAACCAGTATTTTGCCTCCATACTCTCAGGTTCTAACAAATATTGAACTTTATGTAGTAGATTTGTTTTCCACAGCAGACTTAGTAATTATGCAAGTATATTCCATGTATTCTAGGATTAAGTAAATACATTGTAGATATCTGAAGGCTGGTTTTTCACTTTTGGTGAAGGACATTACATATGGAAAGGGAGGGCGTGGACCTGCAGATTGAAGGGTCCTGGCTTTGATTCTGGTCAAGGGCACATGCCCAGGTTATGGGCATCCATCCCAAGGTGGGGGGCATGCAGGAGGCACCAATGATTCCCTGTCATCATTGATGTTTCTATCTCACCTCTCCCACTCCACAATCAATGAAAAAAAATTTATTTTATTTTTTTAAGGAAAAGGAAGAAAGGGAAGAGGTTGAAATGAACCTTAGGTGTTTGATTGGACCTGGAGGTATCATATGACCTCTTAGTTTTTTAAGCTGGATAGATAGTGTGGACGAAAGGGGCCCCAAGCTCAGGGAAGGCCTGCATGGCGGTCTTGCAAACTCAGAGACCTAAAGTAACCACAAAGGATGGTCTGAAATTAAACTTTAACTAAAAGCAGTTATGGTGGGCAGTTACGTCCTAGGCTGGTATCTTCACTGACAAGGTCAACCATAACTGAGCCTATCTGTCTTTTTGCATCTATAATAACAAATCCTTGAAATGTCTGGGTAACTTGTAACTTCCCCTTTTCCGAACCCCTTGGGGGAAAACCTAATGTGCCTGAGTCCCTGGACAGATACACAAATTCCTCCATTGTTATTTTTTTCACGTTAATTGTTGACTGTTAACTATCCTACACCAACTAAGTATCCTGCCATCCTCTAGAGCACTATCCCAATCCATTGAGATACTGCTTCCTGGCAATTGCGAATAGTTGGTCTCAAATAAACTCACAAAAATTCTTTACAGGCTTGAATGTTTTTACACTAACAGGAGATACATAGGAAAAGGAATACGAAGATGATAGATGTGTGTGATTGTGTTTGTGTGTATATATTTATGCTAGATACATAGGTGTGTGTGTATGTAAACATATACACGTGTAGGTACATAATAATGTATTATACACTGTAATATACATACCGTATACATACATGCCGGGCTGCTTGTCCCAGCATTACAAAGGGTTCAGCGATCTGGAGAAAGGCTGTGCATAGATTAAGTAGGAGTCCAAAGACGAAAGATAATTTTGAAAGGCATTGGGGTTCAGAGGAGCTTCAGCTAAAGGAGCTAAAGACTCCAAGTTCTTAGTTCTTCTTCGTTCTTGTCTTAGGACCCCGTGCTTTTTATTTTATGTTTTTCAAAATATATTTTATTGATTTTTTTTTTTACAGAAAGGAAGGGAGAGGAATAGAGAGTTGGAAACATCAATGAGAGAGAAACATCGATCCGCTGCCTCTTGCACACCCCCTACTGGGGTTATGCCCCCAACCCAGGTACATGCCCTTGACCAGAATGGAACCTGGGACTCTGCAGTCCGCAGGCCGACGCTCTATCCACTGAGCCAAACCGGTTATGGCGCCGAGCTTTTTATTAACACAAATTGTCCTAAGGCAAGGTGGAGACATACACATCAAAGGGTAGGGTTTACAGAAGCATAGTCAGATTGGGGAATAGCCTATAGCTGTTCAGCTGTTTGGCCAACAGGAGGCAATAACACGTAGATTAAGATGTCCTGAGCTGTCTGGCAGTAAACAATAATCCTATTCAGGTTTGGGGGAAGTGCCTATTTGCCATTCCAACATATGTGATTATATATGTGACTCAGCCCTTGTTGAACCCACAAGTTTCATCAACCTTTTGATAAAACTCTTGTAATTATGACATGCTGGAATTGGCTCCCGGCACATACGTACATGTGTATACATATTTAAAGCATATGGTAAAGGCCATGCACAGGTCCTAGGAAGGCAGAGTTTTAATTACACCCCTCTTTCCAGCTACAATAGGGCACATATTTGGCAGCAGAGAAATCACCAGCTCCACAAGGGTTGCCTCTCACCTTCCTAGTGAGGCCTTAGATCCAGAGCAGCCAAGACTCCATGGTGCCAGGACCACAGCATGGTGTCCCCATGCCCCAATGCAGGTCCCACACCTCCCTGTCACCTCAATGACCTGCCCAACAACTCCGACTTAAAGATCTCACCTCTCCTAGAAGGTTTCTGGCTTTCCATACAAACAGACACACTGGCAAGACCAGAGTGAACCCAACTACCTCATGGATCCTACAGCCATGGGGTGCAGGCCTACCGCAAAGCTACACATACACACACACACGCTCCAGGAAGAGCTGGTGCTGAGGGACAACCAGTGGCTGTGGGACTGCAGCAGCTACAAAGTGAGGACAACTCTGACAGGAATCGGCCACGCAAAAGCAGATTCAGGCTTCCTCACCAGGAAGAGAGAAGCACCAGAGATCAGAAAGGTGGGTCCTCAGGCGACCTCTCTGTGGGGGAAGGGCTGGATTCTGCCCAAGAAGAGCACCACCTGCATGGAAAGGAAGTGTCTTCAGGCAAAGAACTGCACCTGACAATCCATCTTCCTCCCTGAGCTGTCACCCACCGCACTGCTGCCATCACCCTCCTAGGGTTCCTCTGGACGTGGGCATCATCCTCCCAGCCCGGACACCAGCGCGTGCCAAGTCACACCGCTTGGCCTCTTGGCAGCTAAGCGTAGACCAGTGATGGCGAACCTATTGTCTGACACGGGAACTCATTTTTTTGGTTGATTTTGCTTTGTTAAATGACATTTAAATATATAAATTAGATATCAAAAATATAAATCTTTGTTTTACGATGGTTGCAGATATCAGAAAATTTCTATTATGTGACACGACACCAGACTTAAGTTTGGATTTTTCAAAATGCTGACACAAAGTGCTCAATAGGTTCGCCATCACTGCGACCATAGGACGCTGTTACCCTCTCCTAGATAGAGAAGAACGTCAGTGTGCCCAGGAAAAATTCTTCCAGGCCCTGAGTAGGAGCAGGGGTGATGGGAGGAAGGCAGGCCACCTCCCAGAAATATGTCTCCCAGAGTCCACAAGTCGCCATTGTGGGGAGGCCCAGGGCAGCACAAGGGTACCCCCTCGCCTCCTTCAGTGGAGAACTCCCACACTGCAAAGCCCTCCTCAGCCCGAGGCCAGGCAGACCCACTGAATGAGCAGAGCCAAGCTCAGAGTTGTCACAGAGCCTGGTTAGCGTGGCCTGGGCAGCAGACTGTGGGTGAAAGGGACCACACGCTGACCTGACATGCTCAGGGAGGCCTGCATGGCGGTCTTGCAAACTCAGAGACCTAAAGTAACCACATTGGATGGAATGTAATTAAACTTTAAAAGCAGTTATGGTGGGCAGTTACGTCCTAGGCCTGTATCTTCACTGTCAAGGTCAACCTTTATCTTATCTGAGCCTATGTGTCTTTTTGCATCTATGATAACATGCCCTTGAAATGTCTGGGTAACTTGTAACTTCCCTTTTTCTGCAGCCCCTGGGGCACAACCAAATGTGCTGGGTGCCAGGACAGATACCCCAACTCCTTCATTATCATGTGAATTGATCCTGCTCCCACCTAAGTATGTGTCCATCATTTTACTTTTTATCCAATCCCATGGGTTTCCCCTGCTTTGCTTTATCCCTCCTCCTTGATCTGTCACCAATGAATTTCATGTAAACCACTTATGTCCCTCTTTTGATTGCAAAAGTATAAATTCAAATGTAACCCCTCCATTCTCGGGAGCATTATCTCAATTCACTGAGGTTCTGCTTCCCGACATATGTGGACAGTTTGGCTCAAACTCACTAAAATTCTCTCAATGGTTTTTTACGTTAACATTACTAACTTCACTTCCTCTTATAGAGGCTTAGATCAACTTTGTTGCTATTGTTCCACCTCCTTGTACTAAGTTAAGCCCCATTTGCTGGTACTCCATTGGACCTGGAATGGCCATTCGCGCCAGATTGGGAAGCCACGCCCTTAAGCCAATCAGAGGTGGATTGGGGGTGAGCCATGAGTCAGCGACGTGGAGGACCGGCTTCCCCTTCGGTGTGCTCGGCCCGAACATTTTCCTGTTGGCCTTGCAGCTTTCGGAGAAGCACATTGGCCTTACCGAGCGATTCTCAAGTTCCCGTGGCGCCTTTTCGGAGCATTTCTAACAACAACACCCCAGACCACCAGCACTCACTGCACAGACCAGGGCTCCGGGCTCGGACTCTAACCAGGCAGGAAGGTTTGTGATCCCACAACCCGAGACCTGGGGCTTCCCTTCCGGTCCCCACAGCCCCAGGGTCCGGCCGAGCGCCTAAAGCAGCCTGGACCGCGGGGTCGGGCTTTGCCGGTAACGCGGCGGGAGGAGGTAGCCCCGCCCACGAGGGCGGGTCTCCAGGACGGAGCTTCCGGTGATGGAGGCGCGCGCCCGGCTGGTGGGGTTGGTGCGCGCTGGGCGCCCCCGTGTGCCCTTCACCGTCTGTGAGGCGGCCGCGGGGCCCTCAGAAGTTCAGGGCTAGACCCGTCCCCCGGAGCCGGGCGGAGGGAGCCCGAGGAGCGCCGGCGGCCTTTCCTTGCGGGACACAAAGGGAAACGCGAAGTGGAAGTGTGGCAGGTGAGCCTGGCGGGCGGGGGAGGCAGCACCCCAGACGGGCACTGGGCAACGAGGGAGGGCCGCGGAGGAAGAGAAGTGGAGAGGGAAGGGCAGGGCCGGAGAAACAGTGTTCTGAAGACCAAGGGAAGCAAGTCTCCGCCCGAGCGGAGTGCCCCCTGGTTAAATGCCACTGCGATGCCTTGCGGAACAGTGAGGGCACTCATGGGTTCAATCAGCGAGAGAGACCTGTTATGGGTTAGAAAAAACCAACTACAAAGTATTTCATTAGAAGTTCATAAAAAGTTCCTAAGTACAAAGGGGAGGTAAACAGAGTCACACCTGGCTGGAGCGTATCATAACACATTGTTTTTCTAAAACAGTCTAGCAATTTTTCTTCCACGATCTCTAACCCTTACACAATCCTTCTTCATAACCTGACACAATCCCTCTCCATCCGTCAGTCCCCCCTCCCAGCACATTCAGTTTCTCATGTTTCATTTCCTTCCCGTAGCACATTCTGTAACATTTTATAACCCTTCCATGGCTCAGTCCCTCACTCTAGCACATTCCCTACTGGTCTTATGTCCGAATCAAATCTTTGATTCAGTGTCCTCCTCTAAGATTCTGGAGTATTGGGTGTGTAAAACCATTAACTTTACAGCCTGTATTCGATTTTGTATGAAGTTGAGGAGGCATCTGGCAATGCAGGGGCCAAATATTAGCCCCAGGGGGAGTATAATGACTGGTCCTGCCAGTGCGGAGAGCGGGGTAGTTATCCAGGGGGACCAGGAAAATAAATTCTCGTACCAATTTCCTTCTGCCCTTCTTGCCTCTTCTTGGTCGGCCAGCCGTTTTCGCAGCTGACTAAGGCTTTCCCTGATTACCCCTGAGTGGTTGGTGTAGAAACAGCAAGTTTCCCCGGGGGCCAGACAGAGGCCTCCCTGCTTTCGGAAAAGCAGATCTAGGCCTCTTCTGTTTTGCAACACCACCTCTGCAAGTGAACTGAGGAGTCCTCCAGTTGGCTAACAGATTTCTCAAGAGTGCTTAAATCTTTATCTGTCTGCCTGCTTAACTCTTTATAATTTTGGTGGCCAGTTGCTAGGGCAGCTGTTCCGACGGCCGTGGATCCTGCTAGTCCTATTCCCATAAGAAGGGGGACTCGGATGGAAGCCCTTCTAACCCTCTTGGGTTCGAGGTTTCAATGTTCTCGGCCCCCTTCTCCCGAAAAGTAGTACACCTGTAGGAGGATATGACTTAGAATGCATAGTCCAGGGTTCGTCGGATGGTGGAGGACTGGAGAGAAGATGCAAGGGGTTATACCAGTTGTACGTGCCCACCAAGTCCCCTCCGGAGCTACTAAGTAGGTAGGGGTCTCTCCTGTATAATTCTTTGGACGTATGATAGATGAATTACATAGATCTGTATAAGTGGAACTGCTAAGGGGGTAGTTCCTAGGGTACACACAAGTTCCTGGGTTCAGGAGGTTCCCAAGAGTGAGTCCTGGTTGTTTGTGTCCCCACATACACAGTCTGTCCGGCAGACTTTCTGCCGAAAGGTTCCTGATGGCAGAGGCACCCTTCCCAAGCTGGGCCTCCGCCCCTATCCCAACATTATAAGGGGGTTCAGGGTTAAGGCACAGCCAGCAATCCGCGGTCAGGTTTGGGGAGGTGCGATTCAGGAAAGCAAACATTAAGTCCAGAGTTCCCAGCAGCTGCTGGTTTGGTCTTCCTGCACCTGCTCCTAAAAGCTGTTGTAGGTTCCAATGGCTGGCGAGGTTGTGGCTGCAGGTGGAGCAGGGCTGGGGTTCCCAGGCTTTTGTGACTCAGGGGAACCAGGAGGTTTTGCTGGGGCTGGGTGCTGTGGCAAGCTCGGCCTCTTTTGTTTGTCTAGGGGACGCAAGGGGCCAATCGGGTTGAGCCACCGGGGAAGAGTCCGGCGCTGAATGGTGAAGAGCTGGCCAGGGTCTCGGCCGCTGACAGAGAGTCTTAGCCCCCACATTTTTCCCCCTTCCCGTTGGTCAGTCCACCAGGCAAGAGGTATGAGGATGACGGGGTTGCAGTCTCCGACAGTGCAGTTCTTCTTTGGGGCCCCAGGTCGAACCTCTCTGGTCAGACGGAGGAGCTTGTCGGTGGGAGGTTTTTTCCACAGGGCTAGAGTCTCACAGCCCCCAGAGGCACAATAGAAGTCGCCCTCTCCTCCACAGGCACTACCCCCTTCCAGGGGGCAGACATAATGTTCAGTGTGCCATAATCCTTGCTCTAGGGCCAAGTTTCCGCACCCATAACTCAATTCCAGCGACCCAGGGTTGGTCCCCCAGCCATACCTGGTCGATATGGTTTGGCCATGGGAATTTCCCCAGTTTTTTCCAAAAAGTTTGCAGAGATCTGTCTGGATAACAGGCGCCCCTACTCCTACAACAGAGCCTATAACAGTCCCATCAATAGTACGTGTGACCTCCCAAGAGTAATTCTTGGCTGAATGGGGATTTCCCAATCCTGGCTGCATGCAGACGAGAAGAGTCAAGATCAACACCGAGTGAGTCTGACCTTTAATGGGTCTCTGGTCCTCTGGACCCGCCATCCCTCGACGCTGTCTTTCGCCTTCTTAACCTGTGTACGATGCATCCAGTGCCATTTTCCTGCAACTTTGATGGCGGTTGGACTGGTCAGCACCACCTGGTAGGGTCCATCCCATCTAGGTTCCAGGCTGCCAGGGTCGTGGTGTTTCACCCAGACGAGGTCACCCGGAGAGAAGGCAGGCTGCGTTGGACTGGTTCTCGGTGCGTCCTCCTCTCGTACCGCTCTCACCACTCGTGCCGACCTGGCGCTGCTCTGCAAAGCCTGTAAGGACTTAAGCAAATTTCGGGTAGACAGCCAGGCAATTTCTTCCTCCCTTAGGCGGGGAAGAAGAGGTGGCGGCCTCCCAAACGTAATTTCAAAAGGGGTGAGTCCTGAGGAGGGCAAAAGGAAGGAGACTTACCCAGTTTTCTCCAGTCTCTAATTTTAATTTAGTTAATGTTTCCTTTAAGGTCCGATTCATCCTCTCTACCTGTCGAGAACTCTGTGGTCTATAAACACAATGTAATTTGCAAGTTACTCTCAGGGCCTTAACTATGGATTGTGTAACTTTGGCGATAAACGCTGGTCCATTGTCGGACCCCACATATAGTGGCAGGCCAAACCGGGGGACAATTTCAGTGAGGAGTTTCCTAACTACTACCTGTGCTGTCTCTGCCTTGGTTGGGTATGCCTCAGGCCAGCCAGAGAAGGTATCAACAAAAACCAGCAGGTACTTATATTCTCCTCGTCCTCCTGGTATCAGTGAAGTCCACTTCCCAGTGTTCTCGGGGGTTCTGACCTCGGAATCGCTGCCCCGGCGCGGCCACAAGAGGGGGCCCTTGGTTCACCTGGGTACATACTTGGCACCTTCGGGCCAAGTCTTGGGATATTTTCTAGAGCCCTGGAGTGTAAAATTCTCTTCCCAGTAGTTCTGATAGCTTTGTTCCCCCCAGGTGGGTGCTTTGGTGGGTCTGGGAAGTGATGGTCCACCCCAGGGCTTCTGGTACTATAGGCCTCCCATCTGGCAGAATTAGCCATCCAGCCTCTCCTTCCCGGGCCCTTAGCTTCTCAGCTAGGCTCTGCTCCTCCGGTAGGTAAGTAGGCTTCTCTGGGAGCCTTTGTGCTGGCAGGGCTACGAGAACCTCCAGGGGCCCTACTGGTCTTTTAGCCACTTCCTTGGCGGTTTGGTCTGCAAATCGATTTCCCTGTGCTTCGGGGCTATTTTCCCTCTGGTGCCCCCGGCAATGAATTACCACCACCTCCTTGGGCCCCCATGTGGCTGCCAGGAGGTTAAGTATTTCAGAAGCATTTTTAATGTCCTTTCCTCCTGAGGTCAGGAGACCTCTTTCCTGATAAAGGCCCCATGCACATGTACTGTGGCAAAAGCATACCGACTGTCTGTGAAAATGTTCACTCTTTTTCCTTTTCCCCACCGGAGGGCCTGAGTTAGTGCTATTAGTTCTGCCTTTTGGGCTGAGGTGCCTCGTCCTAAGGCCTGTGCCTACAGAATCTCCTTTTGTGTCACCACTGCCACCCCCGCATACCGGGTACCTCCTTCTACGAAGCTGCTCCCGTCCGTGTAGACTCTGTAGAGGGTCTCATCCGGATTCTGCAGGGGCTGGTCCACGAGGTCCTCTCAGAGGGAAGTGAGTGCAGTCAATGTCTCCTCGAAGTCATGCAAAGGGGCCTCTGCCTCTTCAGACGGGAGGAGTGTGTCCGGGTTCAAGGCAGCTGTTTTTAGGAAGCTGACCCGTTGTGGGTCTAGCAGCAACACCTGGTACTGGGTAATGCGGGTGTTGGACATCCATCTCTCCGGGGGGCTTCTTAATAAGGTCTCAACTGCATCTGGGGCAACTACTTGGAGATTTTGGCCAAAGGTTAGCTTTGAGGCTTCTTTTACCAGTAGGGCAGTGGCTGCAATGGCTCTCAAGCAGTTGGGCCATCCCGAGGCCACTGGGTCAAATCTCTTAGAGAGATAAGCTACGGGGCGTTTCCATGGTCCTAGGGGTTGCGTGAGGACCCCTTTCGCCACCCCTTTGTTCTCAGCTACATATAGCTGGAAGGGTTTGATTAAGTCTGGCAGGGCGAGTGCTGGGGCGCTTACCAGGGCTTCTTTGAGTCTCTTATAAGCCTCTTCTTCCTTTTCTGTCCAGACTACGGCGGTCTCCTTTCCCCCGTTGCAGAGTATAGTGGCCTTGCAATTTCTGCAAACCCTAGTATCCATAGCCTGCCAAAACCCACTGCACCGAGGAACTCCCGGACTTGCCTTTTGGTGGTAGGCCTGGGGATTGACAAGATGGCCTTTATTCTGCTACTGGATAAAGTTCACCTACCCCTTCTCCCTTCTATGTTGTAACCCAAATATGTCACTCGGGTAGTGCATAGCTGAGCTTTCTTGCCTGAGACCTGATACCCCAAATAATCTAGGGTGGTCAGCAACTCTCGAGTGGCCTGTCTGCAGTC